CAAATGTTTTAGTCGAAATATAAGAGTTGGGAAGACGAGGGCAGCTAAGTTTGGTTGGCAGCTGGCCGGTAGTTATACCGGTAGTTGAAGGTAGGCAGGCGAGGGCTGAGTGGGAGGCGGTAGGGCCTAGGGCGCTGTGGTGTTCGTGCGTTGAGATGGAGCGGAGGCGGCAGGGGCGGGGGCGGGGGCGGCGGCTGTAGTCTCCTGGCCCGGGTCGGCACATGTGTCGCAGGCGGAGCATCGATCACGGAGCGGCGCCCCGCCTCTGCCGTCGCCGCTGCGCTCACGTTGCCTGGCCGACTCCGGCTCCGGCCCCGGCCCCGGCCCAGGCCCCAGCGCGGCGCCGCGGTCCCCTCGGGCGCGGCGTTTCGCGCGGCACATTTCTCCGCGTCTCCCTGGCGACGAGCTCCGGCGGCGGCCCCGCGGCCAGCGCTCCCGCCCGCCACCGATCTATTCGCATTTCTCCACACTCCGGCCGAAGTGTTTACCTTCCTAATCACGACAGTCCAGCCTATCTATTCTCATTATTTTCTCATTCGCTGCGCGTTCGTCCGTTGTTCCTTCTTCATCGTGTGTTCGCATTACCCAGGATACACCATTGCGCTAAAGAAAAGTACGCGCTACATTTGTTGGGTTTATATAAACCACAAAATAATTGGTAAAACCACGTAATAAGTTGTACGATTAATTACTAAGTCCTTCGTGATTTTAGGTATTAATTTCTAATTGCAAAGCTTTTTATTAACTCCGATTTGACGATTCCCTTTTTTTTAGGAATCGGCTAAGTAGAGAATATCTTGTATTAACAAAATATAAAAATGAAAGAAAAAATCTTCAGTTATACGTTTCTCTCCCCACTCTCTGTTTTCACTCCGTCTCCTTTCATCTCCCCCCTTCCGTCCACGACCTCGGTTCGAATCCTCTTACCAATCTTCTCCCTTCCTCTCCTCGACCGGCACTCTCTTCTTTCATCACTCCCCCCCCTCTCATCGTCAATGCCGACATGTTTTCGTCCAGGGTCCCCTCTCTCCCTCGGCGTTTTCTCACGGCTTCGCTTCTTCCCGCAGAATCATCAACTCCGCATCGCAGTTTTCGCTCATCACCCTCGCCCGCGAGTCCCCTAGCGCAAGGCGCGGCGGCGCGCCCCTTTTCCCGCCGCTGCCTCCAAGCACCACCACCACCACCACCACCACCACCACCCTCGCTGCCGTTGCGACCCAGGAACACGTTCGGCGCCGCGCCGCGCGGTTTCGCAATCATTGGGTGGGGGCGGGCGGGGAGCTGGGACGTGACCGGCGGCGACGCGCCTCTCCCTTATTCCCCGCCTCTCCCCTCCACAGACGCTTTGTGATGGCACTCGCTGACGACAGACGCTACTGCACCATATTAACCCCAACCCACGGGATTGAGAGTCCCGTCTAGAATTCTTGTTTGAATGTGTTTATAACAAATATTTGTTTGGGGGATAAGCAGGCAGAAAAGGAGCATTTCACACGCAAAAATAAATCTGTTTAGGAACTGACCTTTATGGACATAGAAAGAACTCCTTTCATTAAATTTACATACGTTTATAGATTTAATTATACAATAATATATGTATGAAAAAAAGGTCTTCCTCAGCACATATATACCAGCCAATCACAGGCAACAAATAACTTCATTTCACTCATAAATATAATAGTTGTATTATGTGATTATAATTTTTCAATTACTTCTTTAGGTGGCAATTACGATGTGGAACTATAGAATATGAAAGATATAACAAAGATGCACATATGTGAAAGATATGCTCAGATACAGTTGGAATGATTGACAATGTTTGTTATACGTCAAAAGAAACAAGCCTCCCAAATTGAATGTTTTTAAAAAAATCTGTATTCATGTTGTCCTGTTGAGAAAAGAAAGGATGTTTCAGATTTGCTGTTTTGTAAGTTATTCAGCACCATTCCGAAACATCAGTGAAGACGATGAAAGCCTTCGTCAGACAGATTTTTGCGTACGTGCCACGTGCAAGAGGAGAATTGCGAAATGTTCCGCTGCATTCCGGCAGACACGTGGAGCACAATAATTCCATTTGCTAGATGCTAATGTCCTTTGCATTGTGCTAAAACGTTCAGATTGAAATAGTAACGAGATCTGGTACATATATTTCATAATAGTTTTTATGAATATCGAAGTAATATTATTAGGTACAGGAAGAACAACAGTGAAAATTATCGTTTGGCCAAAAAACACAACAATTGCCGAAGAGATCGAAGAAAACTTGCTTTAAGATATCTCATTTTGTGATTACCAAAAGATGCCTTTTTAATCGCCTGTCGTTGATTAACACGCATGTCGTTTCCAAAGAATTAACTATCACTGTTATTTTTTCAGCATACTTTGTTCTTTTGTACACTGAAACGAAACCAATGCTCCAACACATGCGGTAACAGAAAAACAACACAAGTACATATTCAAATGTCGAATTTTCTGCTTCTTCGCAATGTAGCTCGGGAGGACGGCCGATGGTAAAACGAAGCCTCGACTGAGCGCCTTTGAGCGTCGTTCCGGAGGAGAGGCCTCGTTCACGTGCTCGAGTAACGCGAGCGCCCAACGACATGCTCGCAACACGGCTGCGCACTTACGGGCACCGGCAAGCCAACAAACGGAGGCCGTGACTGAAAATAATTACACTTCTTACTGTAATTTGGTAAAAATTCAGAGAATTAGTTTTAACTCTTACTCGCGTAACAAAGTTCCGAGCCCTTGATGGCGTTCATCGTGGAGTTGAAAGTTGAACTCTCCTTGAACATCGTCAATCATACGTCAAGTCGTAAGTCATTGCCTTTTATCCCTATCGGCTAGGTGTCAGCGCCATTAGTATCTGGGATTCCCATACGGTCACCCATCTAAGGACCCGCGGTGTCTCGAGCGGCTGAACATTCGTGACTTTAGACGTTTGGTTAATAACCGATGCTAGCTTAGTTATGTGAAGACAAAAACAACTCAATAACATTAAACATTGATTCTACAAACGTTTTCACGTTAATACGTGTTCTACATTCTATTAACTTCCGATAAGAGGCTTCGGTACTACTTGGTCATTCCTAAACAATCATATTTATTTCGCCTAGTTGTTAGTTCTCCAATGGTCCACACCACTCTATCACTAATTCGCACCAAATAAATTATAGCGGCACAGTTGGTTTTGTGACTGGAACGAACAAGACAGGAACAGAGGTAAGAAAGCGTCTTAGCGGTCATATCAACTCTGATCTATGCTGGCTTTTCTTTTTGTGTCAGCAAAGCGCCCAAATCTATTACAAATTACAATTAAGCATTATAGTGCTGAACGAAAAGACACGACGTGTATGGAATTGCCAGGCAGTTTTTAAAAAGGATTATATTAGCTTGTATTAGGCTTACATGCTTCAATAGAAACAATGCGCTGTGCGCCGCTGTAAACCTAGGACACGATTTACACATGTGCTGCTAATGAATTTATATGCTAGCAATCTATGTCGTTTACATTATTTTACCATACTTTTTTTTACTATGATACCCTTGGGTGGCTCATGGACAGCATGCAAGCTTTCTATGGTGCGATCCCGCCTTCGATTCCCGATGCGGAAGAATACATCTGTAGCTTTCTAATACAATATGATACTCCTCTATCGGTGTTTCGAAAGGAAAGGAAGCACACCAAGTACGTTGAATACGGTGATGAGAACGCTAAGTACGCTGAATACGTCATGCTTGCCAAGAGTCTCCCTTACCCCCAGGCGTGGAAATTAAGTACAAACAGGGTCCCGGTGTGGAAACACTGCTACTTGGCAAAAGTCAGATTAATTCGACCCTAAAGGACAAATACATACGTATTTTCACTATATCATGAAATTAACAGAAATCTGAGGAAAAATCAAACAAGAAGGGAATAAAAAAGGAGTTAAATCATTATAAAATCATGCCAGTATAGACTATAAATTACTGGCGTCTGGTGTGGGTTAATTCAGATAAGGCTAGTTCGTAGTGTGTATTAGCACATTTCTCTTCCGCAAACGCTTTCCGAGTTGCAGCGTTTGCTATCTGTAGATCGCTTACATGAAATACAAATACATGGCTGCCACGCCAGGAGAACCGGCGGGGAAGAGAAGGGGACAAAACAAAGTTCAATACAAAAGGACAGGCATATCTAACAAAGACCTAATCGAATCTTTGAATCTGAAACAGAGGTACTGTCCACATGATCTTGAGTGGTCAACTGAAGAGATAACACTTTTCTATGAATATATAAAATTCAGATATTTTCATGCAAATAACAGGAATATACCCTTACAAATTCTCAATCAGTTCACTTTCCAGTACAAGACGATTTAAACATTAGATAATGTTAATTTCTTTTCTAGAATTAATTCTACATGTTCAGTCTAAACGATAATTGATATTTAAAAATATTATGCATAAACTGTATGATGATTTTTCAATTAATATACAAAAGGGGTACACTTTACGCATGGCTTATAACGGGCTGAAATACATTGAAATTAATTCTAGTATATAGTCGCGGGTGTTACGCACTCACTGTACAGGATTATTTTTTACTAATTTCCTATTGAAGCACTATTACGGGTCTATTATCTTCTGCATTTTTCATTTAGTTTTCCGGTGACGTATGCTTGTCATAAAAACCCTGTGGTGATTTCGAGCTTTTCCTAATACGGAATTAGTACACGCTAATACCGCGAGACAATGGTCTTGGAAAGGTCTCTCACCTTCTTTGCGAAGGGCTCTTTGAGCAGTTGTACAACACACTCGGTATGCTTTCACAATCTCAATATTTCGTTTTCCATACTGATTTGTTAGACGTCCAAATGCATGAAAATTCTCAATTGTAACCTCACGTGTGGTACTGCGATTCGTATCTGAGTGTTCAACGTAGTGCATACAGTACACCTAGTTCTTTCCATCTCAAAAACGAGACACGAGGGCCCATGCGAAATGTGTGCGAGTATACTCACGTGTGGTACTGCGCCTGCAGGAAGTTGAACTCTTCCTTGATGCGCTCGCAGGTCTCAGCCACCGTGAACTTGAGTTGGCCGGGCTGCGGCGGTGGACCCTGCAACACCAAAGGCGGGGAGGTTAGCGCTGGCTGCGGCGGGTGAGGTAGGGTAATTGCTAACCTAGTGTTCGACTAAAACACTTGCCATTTATGATATCAATTTGGAAAGCAAGCGTTAAGTAATCCTTCTAGGAAGCTCGTTAAGCCAATAATTTATTAAGTTCAGTTCACAAAACATTCTGCAAAACTATGCCTTTAGTTCTAAAATGAATATATTTAACTCATCATGGCATTTAAAAGGTATTTCTCTAGTCGTGCATTTTGCCAAAACTATAGACTTAAAATACTTTCTGCGTGCAAGAATACCTGAACAGTGATATGCTAAGCGAGTTCAGCAATGAAATAACAGCACCCGTTTTTTTGTTGCTTTGCTTTCCCTTCTAAAGCAAAATCTCTAAAATTACATTTCTTTGTATCGTTAACTAACTACACAATCTTCTACTTTGTTCCTTTGTGACAGTTAAACATTATTCACCAACGATATCAGAGGATTTCCTTCGATCAAGCATCAACGAAATTAGCAAACAATATTGAATTGAAACTTTAATCAGATTTTGTTGTCTCTTTTTGCTCTGATGTCATGTAAAAGACCAGGAGTGGAAAGCGATATAGAAACGTTTTATTTTCAAATTATTGTATTTCCGATAACTACTATCCATTCACACAGTTATACCTGAGCGGGTACCGCAAACAGAAGCAGAGATAGAAATAAGCGAGTCAACAACGAAGCCACGATTTGCGAGTTTAGAGGTGGCAACCCACTAGATGTGAAAATTCAAAAGCAAACGCGTTATTATTGCTTCTAGGCCGGAATATATTTGTTGGTCATGTTCTTCACGCAGACATCTTTTGGTCCACATTGAAAATTTACAGAATTAACAATTCTTTTCGTAAAATTAGTCTACTGAGGAGAACTTAGAGATAAATAAAAATAACGAAGCGCGTAATCACACACACACAATGTCCATAATAATTCCAAAACAAATTATATTACATGAATAGAGCAATGGTAGTTGCCATTAATATTGCTTTAGATATCCTTTACGTTTTCTCGCATTATACTACAATCTAAACAATGTCCGGGTTCACAAAATCTCATCCCTATAAAACATAATTTACATAAATACTGGATTTTCGCTTCAAATTAAAAAAAAAAACTTGCACTATAAAATCATTTTAAAAATACATAAAATGTTACTATTTATTATTATCACTATGTACCAAAATTGTACACAAAACGTCACGTCAATAAGCCGCTCCCCTCAGCGGGAAGCCTAACCGAGCTCGGAAGACTAGCTCGTCGGGCGGGCCGTGGGGTGGGCTACGGCGGGGGGCGAGGGGCGGGCGGCACGGTAACCCCAGCAACAGGGGGCGGTCGGCTGGGTCAAGCGAATGGCGGCGGCCCGCGGTCGACCGCACGCCCGTACGATAACGATCCCCGGCGCCGAAAGTCCAGAGGTTACGGCCTCGTCCCGCGTCCCTCCGCTCGGTTCCTCACGCCCCCGCTCGCCCGTGCCTTCGTCTTCCGCTCCGTCCCGCCCCGCTCCGCTCCGTTCCCGCCCTCTTTTCGTCCGCTCCGCTTCGTCCCGCTCCGCTTCGTCCCGCTCCACTTCCGCCCCGCCCCGTCCCCGCTTGCCGCCCGCTCGACGTCCGCATCCGTCCCGCTCCGCCCCTGCCCCGTCCCGCCCCGGCCCGACCCCGGCCGCCCCGCTCCACGCTCCAGCTCCGTCCCGCTTCCGTCATCGCGCCCCGTTCCCGCTCCGTCCCGCTCCGTCCCGCTCCGTCCCGCTCCGTCCCGCTCCGTCCCGCTCCGCTTCGCCACGGCCCCGCGCGGAGCCTTAATTTTCGCATCCGTTGCCCATCGCGACCCTCCTATCCGAAAGCCATTTCTCATCTTGGGAGACGGGAGAGGCGCGGGAGTTTAACGAGAGTTAAAACGCGAAGACGCGCTCGAGGGAAGGGGTAGAGTTCTGCGGGTGGGTCGGCGTCGTTGTTCCGCGGAGTATGAATGCGTATTCGCCAGTTAACGAAACGGTCGCTCCGGCAGAGCTGGCCCGCTGCCCGGCCCCCACAGCGCGTTGTACAGCTGTTGCTCGCTGCGCGAGACGGCCGTAGGCAGGACTCCGGTACCGCAGGCGCCGCCGCAAAGAAATTGGCAGGCAAGAGGCGTTCGGAGACTGCCCACTATTCACAATGAACATTTATATTAGGTCCAAATCGTTATGTTTGTGGTTATCCGAGAGGTTTCTCAAATATTTCGTGCCGAAAGGTTGATTCTATTTTTAAAAGATATTTTTCCATTCAAATTATTTTCCAACTTACAATTATAACCTTTCGACTAATGGTTACAGCCGATTAACAAGTTTGTAAGCTTGTTGATTGACCTATTCATAATAACTGATGATTGATTGAAGCTCCTCAGATTGGAAACGAATATTCAAAAACGATTTTCAGCAATTTTGTTTCACTGTCCTGGAAGCGAAGTTCACTAACCCAAAGTCCTTTAGAAAAGCATGCTTATGTACTCGTGCCTTCACATAACACTCCAAAGTGCAATTTACAGTATTATTCCACGACGCGAGAATATATACAATTTTTGGTTTCCGCATAATGTCATCATTAATTGTTATGTCACTTCGCAATGAATATGATCCCTCTTCCGGTTCAAAACTGTTTTCCTCTATCCACAAAAATAGCTGGGTATATTAAGTAATATATTTAGGGATCTGTAAGCACGCGCACATCGCCATAGCCATAAAAAGATTGAATAACATTTCCATAATATTACTGTTGAATCTATGGAAGTTTCATGAATTTTGATTCAAGAAAGGAAACGTTAGGGTTTATGTTTACCGAATGGTCATACGTAGTTAGTGAAAGGCATACCGATGTACTCAGAAAAGCATTAACCATCACAGCCAATGCAACAACAAGAATCCTTCAATCCTGAAAAATCGACAGCGAATGAGCACAAATATAGTCGCGCCTGGAACTTCGCACCTTGTTCGAGGACATGAAACTCCAGGAACAACAGAACCTTCAAAGACAAAAGTTCATCGCCTGATGAGTTGTAAGGTGATTATCATTGTGACAAGAATGTGTTATATGCTTCTGTTCCTTATCGGTTTCTTCTTTATCAAACTACTTAAAGAAATTTAAATTATCAACGGAAAAATACTTCTGCGTTACACTTTACTGATAGTTACTGAACGATATCAATGTACTTCACTACAATGTACACATTTCAAAGATATTGAATACATATTTGTTCAATGCGGTAGTGTATTTAGAACAAAGTAACACCGGAATTAAAAGGGGATTGCATTAGACAACACGACTTATATCATAGTAGATAAAAAAGTATATTATTTTTATTATGCATCTACGAAATTTACAATCTATTCTTGTAGAAAATTGAGTAAATGATTTGAAATAACATCATTTTCATAGACATTGTGGTAACTAGATGATCATCTTCTCCATACGTCATATACAGTTTTTACTGTTATTTGATTAAAAAATCTAAATCTAAATCTAAAACTAAACATCTTTAGTTCAATTAGTGGTTACGGTGACGCTTTGGCAGTTCTAAGATGTGTTGGCGTTTCGGTCTGTAAAAGGGTTCACTACTTTTAAGAAAGGTTAATTGACTGCAAAACATTCCATTTTTTCGGCGCTTCGTGTTCAAGAACAATCTGTTCGTCGTATTGGAGGAATGTTTTGCTTCAGGAGTTTACTTTTTTCCCCACAGTGAATAGTTAGTTACCTGACATAGTTGTTGACAGAGCATGCTTATAGTTATTTAGATCTATATTTTCATTTTTTAGAGGTCTTTTTAATTGTCTTGCGACCGGTTTACATTTTCTTTTGTCTTCCGATTGAATTGTATTCATAAGGATTCAGCCTGTCGTTTTTCTGCTACTTTTGTCTTATTTCTCCAAGTACGGTGAAAGTTAATTACTGGCATTTCTAAGAGGCGATGCTGCCCAGGCAGCAGTTTGTTGTGAAACATTTAAAAGGTGTATTGCATATTTAATATCCTCGCCTTTTTTAAGGTGTTCTAACTCGCACGCACACATAAGTTTCGCTATTGCTTCTTGTTATTACCTAACTTCGGAGATGTTCTTGCTTCAGTAATGTGCGACCTGACGACCAGTTCTACCGATGATGAGAACGAATGAGACATTGGTGAACGAAAATATTTGCTGGGAAACGGACTGGCTGGGAACGAGGCTTTGTGAAAGCCAGCACATCAGTACATAACAATTGTCGTCGCTCGTACGAACTGATATTTTTTTCTCGCTTTTCCGTAGGGGTATTTTACCCTAAGTGAGTAGGTAATGTAGAAAAAACAAAGCACCTCTTGATTACCGTATGTTATCATTTTTAAAATGTCCTTTCGATTCAGAGTCCACGTCGCGCAATGAGGGAAATGCCACTGATTGACCTCCATTAGAGCGAATCCTCACGCAGCGGAGCGACGCGACGCGACGCGACGCTCCCTGAAGGAACACCACGGAAGACGCCTTCCCGCCCAAGCAGCTCGCCGCCAGAAGCCGGGAAGAGGAGAACACGTCAGGACCGGACGAGAAAGGACGAACGAAGGGAAGGAAAGGAAGGATGGAGGGCGGGAAGAGGACGTGGAGGAGGCATGAGTGGCGATGATCAGAGGGGAGAGGGCAAAGATGATAGTAGTCTCCCTGTGGAAACAAAGCAAGAAGAATGATCCATCAAAGGTGCAATTAATAACTTCTACCTCGCCTAAAATCATATCCTATCGAAATGCTGGCTATAGAATTACGAATGGACGTGATGACTCACAGGCCTCCTGTCACTTCCATTTCAACAATATTTATAAAATGAATAATTATTTTCCGCGCTTTTTACGAAGAACACCAGGTGGATATAGGATCAGTACCCTAACAAACGGACCATGAATTGCGCGCGATCTTTCCGTCCCCTTTCTCGGTCTATCCTCACACACAGTCGGGAGCTTA